TGCACCACCCGCCTCCAAGGATGGCAGCCCCCGGGATGGCCTCCACGCCGCCCACACCCCCAGCGACTGTGGACCCTCTTTTACGCACAGCGAACGCGCTTCCAACGCAGCGTCAAGACGGGCCGCGAGGGCCTCCCTGGTCTGCAGGACGGCCACGATGGCTCGAAAATGCCAAACCGCTCCGCCAGACGGCCCCAAAGGCCCCCAAGATGGCCCCGAGAGATTTACGTGCCAAGAGACTCCCAAGAAGCGGAAAGCATGGCTGTTCCTCAGGCTGTTGATTAATTTGATTTGTCTCCTTTTTCTATCCTCTGGGAGCCCCCAGAATGCTCCGAGACGCTCCAGAGAGGCCCCAAGACGGCCCAAAAGAGCCCATACTTTCTTCGCGTGGGTGCTCTCGGGGTGACGTCTTGCGGCGCGAGGACAGGGAGAAGCGACGACCCCTTCCTTTCCCACTGATGAGTCGCCGTTTGAGATATTACCGAAGACGCTTACGGCGAGTCCCCGCCTCCCCGTGCAGGTTTTGGAAGCGTTTGTGTCGTGACATGCCGAACCAAAGTGCGGCCACGCTCCGTGGACTGGGTGTTCCCCCAGCCGTTGGAGCCGGAGACCTCGGCGTTCGAGCCTCGGCCTGGGGCGGACGTCGCCCCCCGGGGCCTCCGCCGTTCTCTCGGAGGCGTATTCGCCCAGTAGCTTTTCCGAAGGAACGAACCATCGGCGCCACTGAGTACATGAACTGTTCTCCCCCAGCCGTTGGGGAGATCATTGGGGTAACGCTGCAGAAGGGCCGTCTTGGGGCTGTCTTGGGGCTCGTGTCTGGCCATCTTGGGGTCCTCTGGGGCCCTGTTGGGACGCTATCAGGCCGCTTTGGGGGCCTCTCTGGGCCGTATTGGGGACCTCTTGGAGTTCTCGATCATCCGCCCGAGGTCCCGCTTGGCCTGGCAGGTGCGATTCGGCGTTGTCGGTTTCGAGTCCCGCTTGCCGTGGCTGTTGCGATTAGCCGTCGTCGCTCTTGGGTCCCGCGTGCCTTGGATGTTGCGATTCGCCGTCGTCGGCCCTGGGTCCCGCTTTCCTTGGCGGTGACTGGCCGTCGTCGACACAGGTGTTCGCTTGCCCCGGTTCTCGAGGCTCGCCGTTGCTGGTCCCGCCACACAGCCCACGCCGCGCAAAGTGGAGCCCACAGGCCGCGCCCATCGGGCAGACCATCGCGAGTGCAAGAGCTCCTCGTGCGGGGCCCACGCTGGCAGTCGTGCTCGAGCTGCCGGGCACTCGGACCCAGGAGGTGTTGAGGTTTGGGCGCCGGGCTCCTCGCCCCCTCCCCCCGGAGGCCAGTCTGTCGTCCCACCTCGATATCCGAAGGCCCCCGCGAGCCCGAAATTGTCTTCCAGCGACCCTGGCACGGAGCAAAGCTGGCCGCCTCGACGCTTGTTCAGGCCGCCCGTGTCCTGGGCATCGGCCGGTGGTTCAAAGGTGTGGTCCTCAGAGATAGGGTCCTCAGGAGAAGGTGCATCAGACAACGTAACTCCACCCTGAAATCCCTTCCTGTCCTCAGACCCCCATCCCTCAGGACCGCATCTTTGAACCACCAAGTCGGGCCTCAAGCCCGACCCGCGGGCCTGTCCCGGCGGTGCCCCCTGGGCCAGAGTGCCGAGCGGCGCCCAGCCGCGGCGACAAGAGGCTTCCCATGTGGCGCAGCACGAAAGTGAAGTCGTGCCTGCCCCTCTACAGGGGGAATATTCAGAAATAGTCAAACAATAGTCTGGGGACGATTTTTTGTATTGTTTTATCATTATGGGGTATTTTTAGGGTATTCTTAATTTTTCGTCCAAAAAACCCCGTAGGGGGACAGGCCCGACTTAACACGAGAGGGAAGCATACAGCCAACCCGCCCAGTGAGGATGGGCAACCTTCCCAAGGGTACCCATGCATCCTTGCCTCCTCGGCCCATCCTTGGCCGCTCTCGCTGGCCGCGCCCCGCTCGCAGAGCGTCGACACGGCCTTCCAAGGCCCTTGCACCCTTCTCGCGCATCCCTGCTGTACGGGTCGACTGTACCTCCAGAGACCTCGGCGTTCGAGAGCCTCGGGGCGGACGTCGCCGCCCTGGGCCTCCGCCGTCGTCTCGGAGGCGCGTTCGCCCGGGAGCCCTGCCGAAGGCACGAACCATCGGCGCCATGGAGTGCATGTACTGCTCTCCCCTGGACTATTCGCCCCCATCGTCGCCCCCGATCCTTGGGATCCAGGAGAAAGCATTGGCCGCCGTCCATCTTGCTCGCGTCACGGGGGCTCTGTACTGGAGCGGTGGTCACGGCCAACACGAGGTCACGCAGCCCCGTTGGGCTCCCGAGTGGGGTCACGGAACAGGCCCGCCAACACGGGCGTGTGATTGCCACAAGTTGGCAACGCTTTCGGACCTGGTGATTTCGCGTTCGCCCGGTTTCGGACCCGCAGGCCTTGGCGGATCGATCCGGCTATTAGAGTTGCTAGACGCTTCGCGCAAGCCCACCAGCCCATCCAGAAACGAGGCCCAGGCGAGTTGTCCTGATGAGGGATGTGAAGGAGCATGCAGTGGAATGAAGTGCTGGGGAAGCCGCCGTACCCCAAGAGGGGGAGGATGCAGGAGGAATCGGAGGAGGAGGAGGAGGAGGAGGAGGAGGAGGAGGAGGAGGAGGAGGGGGGAGGAGGGGGAGGGGGAGGAGGAGGAGGGAGGATGGAGTAGGAGAAACAGGCAGATGATGAAGAGCAGGAAGAGGAGGAGGAGGAGGAGGAGGAGGAAGGCGAGCAGAAAGGCCAGAGGCTTCTTGGATATCTCTCGGAGTCTCTACAGATGTCTCTTGAAATTTTCTTGGGGTCTTGTTGCGGTGCGGCGTCGTGGGGGTCCATTAGTGGTCCCAGAAGCCTCGTGGAGCGTCTTGGGTGCTTCGGGCGAGCCTCTTGGGGCCTCTTGGGAGCTTCCTGGGGACCCCATCGGGGCATCTTGAGGACTCCTGGGCGCATATGGGGGCCATCTGGGGGCCATCGTGGAGGAGATCGATCAAGGAAGGGGGGAGTGATCAGAGCCCGCCCCCCCCCGGGAGGCCAAAATGTATGTAAAACCTTAGCATACTCAAAGAGTGTTGCCTTCTCGTCGAGGCCTTCTTGGCCGCTCGAACGGGTCGCGACCCCCCCCTCGTCCAGGTCGAAAGGGAGGGGGCAGGGGGAGGAGGGGGGGGGGGGGGCCCAAGCTAGGTGCGCTCGCGTCATATCTGACGTCCTAACCCTCCCTACCATCCCTTACCATGGCGTAGATCTTCTTTCTATTCGCACAGTCGAATATCGTAGCAGAGCATAGCATTGCATGGCATATCATGGTGCTGAACATCAACGCGTGTCCTGACATAGCATGGCGTGGCGACGCCCCAAAGTGGGGGGGAGCTTCAGCGGTCCAGAAAATCAACGAGTCGACACCGAATGTGTAATCACTTCCGATGGTTGTTTAGGGGGGGGGGGGGGGGGGCATTTTCTAGAGATTTGGAGGGACCGAAAACCATGCCGTGGCATGTCGCTGGAACTACTGACGCCAGCGCTGCAGCGGGAGCACGATTCGGAACCAGCGGAAGCGCGGAAATGAGGCCAGCGCTGCAGCTGGGCTCAGCGGTCAGCGCTCCACGCGTGTGCCCACGGCGCGCGCCATCTGCGCGCCCGACGCCGCGATTCTGTTCCACATCGGAGACCCCCAGGGATCTGGCAGATCTGGACTCCTTCGCCCCGGGACCAGCCTTTCATCCTCGGCCGCTTTTCAGCGTCGTAGAGGGAGGGTTCTCCCAAGGTGGGGCTGGGGAACGGGCCCAGCTGGATGCTCCCGTTTCACGTGCTTTCTTCTTCCAGGGGCCGTTCTGAACGGTTTTCTTTCCCTTTCGACCCCACCTTTGTCCCTACCCCACCTTTGTGCCCCCCCGGCAGCGGCCCTTCCGTGGATACGAACGGGTACTTGGGAAACCCGCCGAAAGCTACCACTTTCGAGCATCTCTCGGGCTTTGCAGCGGGCAACCGCATCAGGCAGGGTGGGGTCGCCTATCAGTGGAGCCCTCGCACGGGCCCACGGAGGCCGAAAAAACAGCCAAAAGTCGGCGACTACTACCATGTGTGCGGTTACGCCAGGGTGTGGTTTGCGATCGGCGCCGCTGGGGCTGAGGGCTTCACCACGTTGTGCCAAAGATTTGATGAGCCCTCGTCGAGGTCCTCGCCCACCCCGCCAGGCGCGGGTTGCAAGCCACAACCGTTGCAAACCACACCCTTCGGGTCGCCGAGCTGTGGGCGGCGCAGACAAGCGGAGTCGTCTTCACCGACATTGGCGCGTGAGTTGCCCGCGTGAGGTCGCGCGTAAGTGCCTTTTTCTTCACGCCGTGTGCCACGCGGGCATCCCAGATGGGTTCCAAGCAATAGGGGTCGGAGGATCGCGCCACATCGCCGATGCATCGGCGATGCGGCTCGATGTGGAGCCCGATTCTCTCCACGCCAGCGTCGCCGCTACGTCGCCGACGTCACCGATGCATCGCCGATGCATGGGCGATGATGCATCGGCGATGCGGCGCAATCCTCCAACCCCATCTACTCGAACCCCATCTAGGAGGCCTCTAGATATGATGGTTCCCATCCTGGCAGTGGTTCAGCGAATCCTGGCTGGAGCCACGAGAGTCCTTGCCAACCAGCCCACACGTCCTTCGGGATGCTTGGCCATCTTGTTCGCTCACTTGCTTGGCGTTTTTTCTCGACTTCGGCCCCAACAAAGGATGTCTGGGCTGGGGGCACGCGCTCACGGCGAAGGCCTCCCAGCCTTGAGTCTTCCATGGCCTGGTGGTGTACTCGTCGTCCGCGGCGCCGGAGCTCCAGAGGTCTCGCCGCCTTGCTTGCCTGCCGCTCCGACACCATCCGGGAGGCCTCCGGCAGCGCGTGCCCGCAGCGCTCCGCCGCGAAGCGCCGCCCGCGGCGCCGCGCGCCGCGCCCGAGCCGCGCAGCGCCCCATGGCCCGGCCGCCGCCGCCACCGGGCGGCTACGGGCCGCTGCCCCGCGACGCGCCGGCAGGCCCGCCCGGCGCCGGGCGGTGGGGCCCCGCCCGCGGTGCTCTCGGCGGCGGCATCCAAAGTCCGAGCCCTCGCTGTCCCGGGGGCGGGCCCTCCGCGAGCGCGAGCCGCCCGGAGCTGCCGCCCGGCACGCCAGGGGGGGCTCCACGCCCGTGATCGGCGCGGGCCCAGGGCCGCTGGGGTGGGGCAGCTGAGCACAGGTGCACGTCGCCGCTTCCCCCGCCCAGGCAGGGGGGAGCCCATCAGAGCAGGAGTGGGGAGGCTGGGCAGGCCTCCCTCCCAGGCCTGAGGAAAACAGTCAGACGAGCATGGGGGCAGGGGTTTCTGACGCGCGCCGCCTGGCGTGCCAACCCCACGGAGAACCCGGGGAAATCCACACTCGGCGGGGAAATCCCAAACCTACCCTTGCCGATCAACGATTCAGGCAAATCGATGGGCGGCGGGGGTAGGGTTCGGAATTCGTCGAACACGTAGCGAAGTCCGAACCATACCCCCGGCTCCCATCGATTCGGGAGACTCGATGGTTGGCGGAGGAGAAATCGGATGTCGCCACCTCATTTTCGGGGAGGGCTCGAGCGGCGTCGCCGTCTTCGGCGTCGCCCTCGTCCTCGTCGTCGTCGCCGCCGCACCCGTCGGCGTTGTCGGCTCCCTCGTCGGCTCCCAGTGGGACGAGGATCGCGGAGGCGGGAGGACGTCGAGCATCGAGGAGGATCGGGGGGGGGTTCTGTAGTGGTGGTCGTGGTCGGCTCCTCCCTGGCGGCGCGCACAACCCAGAAATCCAGCGGCTCGAAGAGTCGAGACGCCTGGCGTTTCTCCATGTTCGGACTCCAGGGGTGGGCTTCGGGGCTCTCATGGGGCTCGACCAGCCTCCTCGAATCCTCTCTCCTTGTCCCGGGTTTGGGAGCCGGCCCACCTCTTCTTCCCTGCGCCGACCCCAGGTGGGGAGGTTTCTTCTTGGCCGGCGCGAGTTCGCGACGTGACCGCCGCCAAACCGTGTTAGTGCTGATTTGGGCCAGCCGCCCCCGATACAATCTTCATCCAGCCGTGGCAGCAAGGAACGCCAGGAGCGCCCAGAAGCTGGCTTTTCAATGAGGAGGAGGAGGAGGAGGAGGAGGAGGAGGAGGAGGAGGAGGAGGAGGAGGAGGAGGAGGAGGAGGGCAGCAGGAGCAGGAGCAGGAGCAGGAGGAGGAGGAGGAGCAAGGAGGAGAGGGAGGAGGGAGGACAGGAGGAGGAGGAGGAGGAGGAGGAGGAGCAGGGAGGACGAGAGGACGAGGAGGAGGAGGAGGAGGAGGAGGAGGAGGGGGGGGAGGGGGAGGAAGAGGAGGAGGAGGCGGAGGAGACGGGGGAGCAGGAGGAGGAGGAGGAGGTGGTGGTGGTGGAGGAGGAGGAGGAGGACGACGACGACGACGACTTAAGAACTGCTCTGGGGCCCGTCACGCAGCAGCGCGCTGGGGGATAATGAATCGGGTTTCGGGCCTGCTATTGGGCGCTGTCACTGAGATCATAGTGGAGGCCCATGCGCGACGTTCCCACACAGAAGATCAATGGACGCCCTGGGGTCTAAGAGTTGGGTTTCTTGTGGAAGGTTTCTTATGGTCAAGCCCCTACTGTATTTGAGCATCTTCTTCAGAATTTTCTTCCAGCAGCAGAAAAACTCAGGGCCGTCCAAGAGGGGGTGCAGACTGCTGGGCCAATGGCACGTCCCTGATTCCACGACCTCATTCTCTAATTCCCTTTCGCGTACATTCGCTGTCGCCCCCCCTCGTCCGCGCACATGCTCCGGGCCCTGGTGCGCCAACCCCCTCTTTCGGCACACCCAGAAAGCTACTGTGGGCACGCCAAGGCGGAAACCAACCTGCCAGCGGATGCCCCACGAGAACTTCTGATCTCCGATGGTCCCGCAGAGCCCTGGTGCACTCCACGATGCTCAGAGTCGACAAAGAATGTGCCCGTTTCTTACAGTCAGGCCTTTTACCGTGTGTGTCTGTGTGTGCCCACTGTATTCCAGAACTTCACAATACAAGGGGGTCTGATTTGAGCTGTCTTGAACGGTTCTGGGTGGCCTGGGCAAAAGGCCGCCCTTTCCTGGCTGGTATGGGGGGGTCTAACGTGGCTCGTCTGGGGGGTTGCGATCCCCCCCCTTCTAATATGAAAGTCGAGGTACGGCAGGTTCGCGTCGTGTCGACCCCACCGCCGGCGTTCAGCGTTGGACGCCGGCGGCGGCCCAGAAACTGTCGATGCTGAAAGATCCGACGCTTCGGAAACGGCCGACCGTTCCAGGCGGCACGATCCCCGCGGTGTCGGGGCCCAACGCCGAGGTCGGCACGAACCCGCGGTATACACCGAGTCCTCCGAGGGACGACCCTGTGCCCCTGTTGGGGGAAAACCGAAAGGTACCGACAACGCTACTCCCGGGACCGCTCCTGGTGTGCGTTCTGACCAGGATTCCAAAGCGAATCCAACGTCGGCGACGAGGGCCTCCCCGCGGTGTCAGGGCCCAAAAGCCGCGGTCATCACGACACGAAATTGCCGTGAGCCGCTCCCCGTTCTGTTGCTTCTCCCAGCGCGCCATCCTCCATCGTCGTCGTGGTCGTCGGCGTCCCCCCAACGCGCCGTCCTGCACCACGGCGCCGCCCGCGCCGGCAGGCGCGCCGCCCGCCGAGCCGCGGCCCGCCGCCCCGCGGCGACAGCGGGCGTGCCTGGCGGTCGTGGCGGCCGCGGCCGCCGCCTCGGCCCCCTCGTCGTCCTCGTCGTCGTCGTCGTCGCACTCGCCGCACTCGTGGCACTCGTCGCACTCGGCGCAATCGTCGCACTCGTCGCCACCGCACTCGTCGCCGTCTTCGGCGTCGCCCTCGTCCTCGTCGTCGTCGCCGCCGCACCCGTCGGCATGGTCGGCTCCCTTGTCGGCTCCCAGTGGGCCGAGGATCGCGGAGGCGGGAGGACGTCGAGCATCGAGGAGGATCGGGGGGGGGGTTCTGTGGTGGTGGTCGTGGTCGGCTCCTCCCTGGCGGCGCGCACAACCCAGAAATCCAGCGGCTCGAAGGGTCGAGACGCCTGGCGTTTCTCCATGTTCGGACTCCAGGGGTGGGCTTCGGGGCTCTCACGGGGCTCGACCAGCCTCTGATCCGCTTCGCCTGTCCTGGGGTTGGGAGCCGACCCACCTCTTCTTCCTTGGGCCGACCCCAGGTGGGGGGCTTCTTCTTAACCGGCGCGAGTTCGCGACGTGACCGCAGCTGAACCGTGTTGGCGCTGACTTGGGCCAGCCGCCCCCGATGCAAGCTTCATCCAGCCGTGGCAGCAAGGAACGCCAGGAGCGCCCAGAAGCTGGCGTTTCAATGAGGAGGAAGAGGAGGAGGAGCAGGGGGAGGACGGGGAAGGGGAGGAGGAGGGAGGAGGGAGGAGGGAGAGGAGGAGGAGGAGGAGGAGGAGGAGGAGGAGGAGGAGGAGGAGGAGGAGGAGCAGGAGGAGAGGAGGAGCAGGAGGACGAGGATGAGGAGGAGGAGGAGGAGGAGAGGAGGAGGAGGATGAGGAGGAGCAGGGGGAGGAGGGGGAGGAGGAGGAGGAGGAGGAGGAGGAGGAGGAGGAGGAGGAGGAGGATTTGGGAGCCGACCCACCTCTTCTTCCCTGCGCCGGTCCCGAGTGGGGGCGCCAAAGAAGGAGCCGGGAGGAAGAAAAAAGGTCGCGGGAAAGTGCCGAGGGTTCTGGGGGCCCGGCGTCTCGAAGATATTTCGAGACGCCGGGTGTATCTGGGAAGGGGCTGGCGCGAGGTGGGGGGGCGGCAGTCTAAGAAGCCTAGGGGGAGGCGCCCTGAGAGGCGGGAGGGCCTCCGGAAAGAAAGCCCGCCCGGCTTCTCGGAGGCCTCTGGGCCCTTCGGAGAGGCCCCCCCCGCGCGTCCCAAAGAGGGCCCCCCGGGATGTCTCGGAGCGCCGCCCCCCTCGCGCCACCCTTCTGTTGCGCGTGCGCGGAGGGAGGCTCTCGAGGCTCGAGGAGGTGTCTGGGCTCGCGACCCCGAGAGAAGAAGCACCTGGTCTTCTGATGTTCGAGCCTACTGTAGCCTTGATCACCAGGAAGAATTTCGAGCACCAAACAGGTGCCGGAGTCCAAGGATTTTCACGTGCCGGGCCCTGGGAGACACTCGTCCGACACTGTTGTGACACTCCTCCGACACTTTTCTGGGTGCTCGAAATTACACGCTGGTCGTTGAAAGTAGGTATTTCTGGATTCCTAGATCCCAATCTACTTCAAGCGCCTTCCTACTTCAAGAATCGACACGCTTTTGCTATGTTTTGTTATTCCCTGGGGGGCCTGGACCCAATCCACATTATCCGCCTTCATACTTCATGTTTCTACCTACTTCTTCCGACCGACGTGTATTTCCGGAATGTGGTCCTGGAGTACGAGGGGAGCACCACCACCACCATAAGTTGGAGGGGCAGGGGGTCCTCCTCCTCCTCCACCTCCTCCTCCCCCTCGTCCTCCTCCTCCTCCTCGTCCTCCACCTCCTTCCCCCCTCCAACTTGTGGTGGTGGCGGTGGAAAACAGGTCCATCGAAATTATCTCCGGAATGTGGTCCTGAAGCACGATGGAAGCCACACGAGCTTGGTCGTCGTCGTCGGCAGCGCGCGGCATCTTCGGCGGGGCGGGGCCCGCCCCTCGGCCGGTGGTGCCTCCTGGGCGGCGGGCCCCGCCTGCCCGCGGAGGCCCCAGGCCCCAGGCGTCGGGTCGCGCGCCCCCGGGCCCCGCCCGAGAGGCGTGGCGGAGGTGAGAGTCGGGGGCGGCAAAGAGGGGGGGGGGATGACTAGGCAGGGGGGGGGGGGTATCATGGCAGGGGCCATGATATTTCCCCAGATGTCGTGGCGCCTCTTCTTATTTCATGACGTCCCTGCCCCCTCCGCTGGGCCGCGCACATGCCGCCGGTCATGATTTGCACCCCCCCCCCCTTGGAGACCACCCTCTTGGCCGCTCCCGAGAAAGGGAGACGCCAGCACGTGCCAGGAGGGGGAAAAACACACACACACACAACGAATCGTCGCTCTCCAGGAAAGCATGGGGAAAAAATCGGGAAAGAGGGGGGGAAGGTGAGAGCCCCAGAGATGTTGGAAAGTAGGGGGGGATCCTGGGACTTGTGTCTGCTTATGTGTGTGTGTGTGTCCCTGGGCCCCTTCAGTTTTGGCACTCGGAGTTTCTCGAGCTGGACGTGCGGAAGGGGCTGGCGGATACTTGTATGTCCGTCCGTGGCTGTGCCTCTGGCGCTCCTTGTCTGGCGCGCCGCATGGCAGTAGCTTCGCTGTGGTTGGCTCCTCTACTGGAGCCATCTATGTTCGAGGCGTTCCAACGAGGGCCTTGCCTTCGAGGATCGAGAGAGTTGTCATCTCTCCCTCGGCGGAAGCTCGGCGGAAGACGGCCGAAGTAGAGACGAAAACGTTTTTGTTCGAAATCGCCAATATTTGTATATATAGATATATATATATATATATAATACACACATGAGCCGTGAAGTGGCAAGATAAATGCTGTAAAGCTCTATTTCACATGGATTGCGAGGGTGCTGCACACGGAGCCCTATACGAGATCAGCTCCGAACCAAACACTGCACGCAGGCAGCTGCATGCAGCTCCAATCAGTTCCAATCCATCCAACTGCAACTGCAAACCAACTCCGATCATCTCCAATCCATCCGTCCTCCTGGAGCCGGCCTTGCCCTCGCCGCGCCGGAGGCCACCTGCGCGCTGGTCGCGCCGCTCCTCACCTCCCGGGCGCCGCAGGCCGGATCTCCGTGGGCCTGGGGCACGGGAGGAAGCCAGCGGCGCGCCAAGACACCGGTGGCCCAGGCATCCGGTTGCTCGAGGAATCGAGGCAGGCGTTTTGTTCTCCACTATCGGCCCCTGGAGGCCTGTTCTGGGCCCCAGGACTGGCAGAAGCGGCCCTGGATGAGAAGCTGGCCCCTGGGAAGTGGTCGCAAGGTCTGGGGGGCCCACGATTCGAAAAAATCAAGCCGTCGGATGTCTGGGGACCCTGGCCCTGGGGAACAAGGGTCAAAGTTGTTCCCCAACCATCCTGTGGTGCTGGGTCCTCGTTTTTGCGAGACAGCGCCTCGCGTCTCCTTCCTCCTCCTCCTCCTCCTCCTCCTCCTCCTCCTCCTCCTCCTCCTCCTCCTCCTCCTCCTCCTCCTCCTCCTCCTCCTCCTCCTCCTCCTCCTCCTCCTCCTCCTCTTCCTATCCTCATCCTTCCTCCCATGCCTGCCTCTGCTCTCCGCATGCCTTCATCGCCAGCATCATCGTCAGCGTCATCACCACCATCACATCATGTTCATCATCGCCATCGCCATCACGATCAACTTTCCAAACCTCCTATGTCAGACTCCTCACGCGCTTTGTGACCCCGCATGGAGCTCCACCGAAGTCCCCAGTGGTTGCGTTCACATGGCGCACCCGAACCCGATTCGGCACACCCCTCACACCACACCATTTACATATTCCGTGTCCCCGTAGGGAGCTCCGCTTGAGGACCCAGTGGCAACGTTGGCATACGGTTCCCCACCCAATTCGGCACACACCCTCACACCTCACACGCGTCGCGGCCCAATAGGATGCCCCAGTGTCGACGCTCGCATGCAGTTCCCCGCCCAGTTCGGCTCACCCCTCACACGCTTCGTGGCCCCATACCCCTCACACATTTCGTGGCCCCCATAGGGAGCTCCACCTGAGGCCCCTGTGGCTGCGCTCGCACAGCGTACTCGCCCCCCAGTCGGCACACCCCTCACACGTTTCGTGGCCCCATAGAGGGCTCCTCCGAAGGCCTTAGTGGCTGCGCTCGCATGGCGAAGGCCACAGTGGCTGCTGGTGGCTGCGTTCGCATGGTGGACCCGCCGCACATTCGGCACACCCTTCACACGTTTCGGTGCCCCATAGGGAGCTCCACCGAAGGCCCAAGAGGCGACGTTCGCATGCGTCCCCGCCGCACATTTCGGCACATCCTTCACACGTTTTGTGGCCACATAGGGAGCAGCTCCACCGAGGGCCCCAGTGTCGACGTTCGCATGTGTCCCCGCCGCCCATCTCTGCACACCCCTCACCACACGTTTCGTGGCCCCATCGGGAGCTCCAGCGTAAGCACCAGTGGCGACGTTCGCAGGTGTCCCCGCCCCGGATTTCGGCAACCCCTCGCACGTTTCGTAGTCCCATTTTGAGCTCCGCCTGAGGCCCCAGTGGCGACGTTCGCATGCGTCCCCGCCGCCCATTTCGGCACACCTCTCGCGCTTCGTGGCCCCATATGGAGCTTCACCTAGCGCCCCAATGGCGACATTCGCGTGCGCCCCCGCCAAAGATGTCCGACGCACCCCTCACACGTTTCGTGGTTCCACTGAAAGCCCCACCAAAGGCCACAGTGGCGATGTTCGCATGCGTCGCCGTCGCACATTCCAGCAAACCCCTCGCACGCTTCGTGGCCCCGAAGGGAGCTCCTCAAGCCGCGCTCGCATGCGTCCCCGCCGCCCATTTCGGCGCACCCCTCACGCGTTTCGTGGCCCCGCAGGAGCTTCACCGAAGGCCACAGTGGCAGGGCTCGCATGCGCCCCCGCCGCACGGACGGCACACCTCGCACACGCTTCGTGGCCCCATAGGGCGCTCCACCGAAGGCCCCAATGGCAGGGTTCCTATGCGGCTCCCCGCCCCTGATTCGGCACCCCCCTCACACGTTTCGGTGCCCCAAAGGGAGCTCCACCGAAGGCCCCGGCAGGCGACGTTCGCATGCGTCCCCGCCGCACATTTCGGCACATCCCTCACACGTTTTGTGGCCACATAGGGAGCAGCTCCACCGAAGGCCCCAGTGGCGACGTTCGCATGTGTCCCCGCCGCCCACTTCGGCACACCCATCGTGACCCATCGGGAGCTCCACCGAAGGCTCCTGCATCAGGATTCGCATGCGTCCCCGCCGCACGTGTCGGCACACCTTTCACACGCTTCGTGGCCCTATAGGGAGCCACCTGCTTTGCGGTACTCACAGCTGCATGTGGCTGGGCCCTCCGCCAGGGTAGAGTTTGACGATTTTCATTGTTGAGGGGCCTCGTGGGGGCTCCTCGACGCCACGGCTGGATTCCCTTCGAAATTCTGTTCATGACGCACCCTAGGACAGGTGCGGGGGCGACTTTTGACGCCCTGGCCCAGACCCCCGCCCCACGTCGGGATCAAAACACGACGCGATGTTTGCCAGTTTTCTGTTTGTGGGAGTCCTTGGCCCCGGGGCCGTGAAAAAGCTGGTCCGGACGGAAAGCTGGCCCCACGAAACGGGTCCAGACCTCCAGGCGTCAGTGTGATCAAGACTCACGACATCAGGGGCCTGGGAAGGAGGCGGGGTCGAGGGTGTGGACTTCGTCAGAGTGCTTATCAGAAGGGATCACAGGGTTCTGAGGAGGCATCTTAGAAGGAACGAGGGCTTCTAATAAGCCCCCTGCCTTCTAAGAATGCGCCCCCCCTGGCCCCACCCGCATGTGCGCGCCGCCGAAAGAAGGGAACAGGAGGATAGGATTTGAAAGTTGGATCGCGCTCACCAACCCAAACATACAACGGCATGAATTCTCGCCACGCGGACCCCGCACCTCTCGACCACGTCCAAGAGACTCGCTTGTTCATCCTGGGCGATGTTTAGTGTCCCAGGTCCCGCAGCGTGCATTCAGAGGCAGAGGTCACGAAAAAAGTTGCCCCTCCCATTTGCGCTCGTGCCGCCAGGGGTCTGGGAATGCTTCTGGCTGAGATTGGGCCCCGACGGGGCTTCCTTCGGCCGCGCCCCGCCAAGAGCTCCCTGGTGAGCGACTCCTGGCTGGAGCGGCCTCCGATGCGCCCTTCTCGTGGGGGACGCCCGGGGCCCCGACCTCGGAGGAGGGCCAGCCGAAATACTGGCGGCCTTCTCCCGCCTGCCCCAGATCCGCTCAAGATCGGTCCCCCCGACCCCTCCTGGAGCCCTTCCCGCCCTCCCCCGTTCGTCTGCGAGGAGGAGGGGGGAGGCTGCGGAAGGAGCAGAGGGTAGTCTCTCGGGCGATCGCAAACCTGGATCAAGGGGGCGTGGATCAGCGACGGATCCCGTCTCTGTGGGAAATCGCGGACTTCCGCCGCCGAACGAGGCGGCACCGGCCGCACTTTGGGGAGGGCACCTCCCCCGATCCATGGACTTGGCGACCGCGCGCCAAATCCATGGATCGCTAATCCATGTTAGCGCGCCCCCGATAATCTGCAAGTTTGGTCCGTGCCTGGGAGGCCTGACCTTCCGGCACCCTCCATCACTTGTGAGTTGTGAGGCGCCCCGCCTCGGCCCGAGACATGGGAGGACTCTGCACGAGTGCGGCTGAGATGTAGCAGGGCTGGACATAAACGGTGTTTTTGGCGATCGTGGGCCGTTTTCGTTTCGACTTCGTTTTGCGGCAAAGACGGATTGAAGACAAAACGAGGGAAAACGAAAACAAAACGAAGACGAAAAACACCGTGTAGGTTCAGCCCTGAGGTGGAGAGCGGCACGAGAACAGGCAAGACGCTGGAGTCAGAAACGGTTCGGATTCGGACGGGGCGCGCTGCTCCTTTTGGCCCGTCCGTGGTTGCTCCTCCAGCGCCCCTCGTGCACCCGGGCGCTTCTGCGGGGGCCAGAGAAGGAGTCGTTTGGTTGCTTCGCCCGACCATCCCATGGTGCTGGGTCCTCGTGTGCAAGGGAGCGCCCCGCGTCCCTCCCCTCCTCCTCTGCCGCTCCTCCCTCTTCCGATCCGTGCCTCTGCCCTCCGCACGTCCTTTTCGGCACATCCCTCACACGTCTCGTAGCCCCGCAGAGAGTTCCACCGAAGGCCCCAGTGGCAAAGTTCGCATGCGGTTCCCCGCGCATGTCGGCACACCCCTCACGCGCTTCGCGGCCCCATAGGGAGCTCCACCGAAGGCCACAGTGGCAAAGTTCGCATGCGGTTCCCCGCCAATTCCGGCACACTGCTCACACGTTTCGTGGCCCCACAGAGAGTTCCACCAAAGGCCCCAGTGGCAAAGTCCGCATGCGATCTGCCGCCCATTTCGGCACACCCCTCACATGGTTCGTGGCCCCATCGGGAGCTCCACCGAAGGCTCCAGTGGCAATGTTTGCATGCGGTTCCACGCCTTTGATTCGGCACACCCCTCATACGTTTCGTGGCCCCATAGGGGTTCCACCGAAGGCCCCAGCGCAACGTTCGCATGCGGTTTCCCGCCCATGTCGGCACACCACTTACACGCTTCGTGGCCCCATAAGGGGCTCCACCTAAGGCCCCAGTGGCGATGTTCGCATGCGGTTCCCCGCTCATTTCGGCACTGCTCCCACGGTTCGTGCCCCAGTAGGGCGCTGCTTTAAAGGCCCCAGTGGCAGAGCTCGTTCACCGCCCATGTCTGCACAACCTTCACACGGTACGTGGCCCCATCGGGAGCTCCACCGAAGGACCTAGCGGCAGAGTTTGCATGCGGTTTCCCACCCTTCTCGGCACACCCTTTACACGTTTCGTGGCCCCATGGGGAGCTCCACCGAAAGCCCCAGGGGCAGGGTTTGCAGGCGGTTCCCACCTTTCGTATCGGCACAACCGTGGCACGTTTTGTGGCCCCACGGGGAGCTCCACCGAAGGCTCCAGTGGCAGTGCTCACATGCGTCTCCCGCATCTAGTTCGGCACACCCCTCACACGTTTCGTGGCCCTATGGGGAGCTCCACCGAAAGCGGCAACGCTGACTCACACTTGCATGTGGTTTGGTTTTTCACCTGGTCTAATTGCGTTCCGCCGAAGGACCCAGTGGCGACGTTCGCATGCGGTTCCTTGCCCATTTCGGCACATTCACACGGTTCATGGCCCCATAGGGAGCTCCGCCTAAGGACCCAGTGGCGACGTTCGCATGCGCGCATGCGGTTCCCCGCCCATTTCGGCACAGCTTTCACACGCTTCGTGGCCCCATAAGGAGCTCCGCCTAATGACCCAGTGGCGACGTTCGCATGCGCGCATGCGGTTCCCCGCCTATTTCGGCACACCTTTCATACGTTTCGTGACCCCATAAGGAGCTCCGCCTGAGGCCCACCTGGCAAAGTTCGCATGCGGCTTCCCTCGCATTTCTGTACACCTCACACGGTTCGTAGCCCCGTGGGGGGCTCTTTTGAAAGCCCCAGTGGCGACGTTCGCATACGGTTCGTTGCCCATTCCGGCACAGCTTTCACACGTTTCGAGGCCTCATAAGGCAGACCCATTTCAGGCCCAGTGGCGACGTTCGCATGCGGTTCCCCGCCCATTTCGGTACACCCCTCACACGTTTCGTGCCCCCACAGGAAGTTACGCCTAAGGCCACACTGGCGACGTTCGCACGTGGTTCCTTGCCCATTTCTGCACACCCCTCACACGCTTTGTGATCTCATAAGGGAGATCCACCTAAGGCTCTTGTGGCGACGTTCGCATGCGGTTCCCCGCCCAGCTTGACACCCTTCACACGTTTCTTGTCCCTATGGGGAGCTCCGCCTGAGGCCCCCAGTGGCGACGTTCGCATGCGTTTCCCCGCCAAGCTTGACACACCCTTCACACGCTTCGTGGCCCCACGGGGAGTTCCGCTTGATGCCCCCAGTGGCGACGTCCGCATGCAGTTCCCCGCCCAATTCGGCACACCCCTTACACGCTTTATAACCCCAAAGGGAATTCCACGGAAGAAGACACTCACAATTGCGGCATTCACAACAGCAGTAGTGTTCCTTATGGTAATAGCTTGACTGCATGTCGAGAGCCGTACGAACCCGAACATGACACAGACACAAGCTTGTTCCGTCGTGAGCTGAGGTAAATACGGCCCTGTCAGCACGCACGCGCGACTCCCAAGGCAATGTGACCACCACCACCGCCACTACCACCACCGTCAGCATCATCATCAGCAGCAGCAGCATCATCATTATCATCGTCAGCATCAGCATCAGCATCAACGGCATCATCACCATCATCATCATCATCAGCAACACCAGCACCAGCATCATCATCAGCATCAGCATCATCATCATCATCATCATCATCATCATCAGCAGCAGCATCATCATCACCGAAGCCCGCGCTGGCAGGGCCGCCCCTCAGTCCACAATAGAGCGCCCGCGGGCGCCAATCTGGCATGCACCTGCATGCGCCGCGAGCGCCGAGGGCGCGCGCGTGGCTTCCAAGACAGCGCGATCATCATCGTCATCATCATCATCGTCAGCATCAGCATCAGCATCAGCATCATCACCACCATTGTCATCCTCACCGTCCTCACCATCATATATATATATGGCTATCGCCATATTCACCACAATCACCCGTATAATCATCAGCAGCATCATAGTCGTCATCATCAGAATCATCAGCAGCGTCATCGATATCGTCATCGTCATCGTCATTGGCAGCAGCATCATCATCGTCACCAGCATCGTCAGCATCGTCATAATCATCATCACAATCATCATAAGCATAACCATCATCAGCATCATCATCAGCAGCACCATCATCAGCATCATCGTCGTCTTCATCATCACCATCATATCATCACAATCATCATCGCCCCAGCCCGCGCAGCGATGCGCGCATCGAGGCGCGCGAAAAGGCCGCGGGCGCCGCGGCGCTCAGGAGCGACCCCGCGCTTGCGCTCGCACCGGCCTCGGCGGGCGCCGCCCTCGCGTCGTCGCTGTCGTCGCCACCGTCGTCGTTCTTGTCGACGTCCGCGCCGCTCGTCCGCGTTGTCGCTGCCCGGGTTACCGTCCGCATCGCTGTCGTCGGCATCGTCGCCGTCATCGTCGTCGTCGTCCTCGTCGTCAGCGTCCTCGTCGTCGACGTCCGCGGCGTCGTCCCCATCATCGGAGGAGGATGGGAGAGGAGATGGAGGGGGTAGGGGGGGGGGACGGGAACGAGGATGAGGAGGAGAAGGAGGACCGGAGTGTATCCAAGATAAATCAACGATGCTGCAGCACACCTTCTCGTCCCAAGTCCCCTCCTCATGAACCCCTAGAAGCATGATTTCCCAACTACATGGTCACGCTTCCTCGGCGCTGGCGCATTCCGATACTCGCCGCGCAGAAATTCGGGGGATTCTTCACCGGGCACCTGCTGCGCTTCGGCTTTCACGCTTTTCGAGAAGTTGCGCAAGGGGAACCGGTTGATACACCTGTACATGGATTGGGAGCTCTTCCGGGCAGCGTTGCGCGGGCTGTTGCATTGGTGGTTCTTGCAATTCGCTGTCGCCATGTGGTCCAGTATGTTTCAGATCGTGTCCTCGCAAGATTTCGAGGTGGTGCGGGAAGAGCAGGAGTACAGAGACCCCGATTGGGGCGTCTCCTGGGTCCAGCACGCCCTGGACACGCATGTCAAGGGCATCGAGCATGTGGACATCTTCCTCACGGCTCGCCTCGGGTGCCACAGGGCCCACCACGTCAGGAGTCCGGCTTCGCCAACATCGCTTGCGAGTCGGCCCTGAGGGAGACGTGCCAGGAGTTCGGCGTGGAGTGGACGCCGGCCCAGAACTTGCTCCTGGACGGCTTCCTGCCGCTGATGTTCCACTACTGGGCGGCGCCAGCCCAGATCCAAGCGGACCCCAAGCCCATCCTCATCGGCGGGGCGGGCCTGGGCGGCTTCGTCCACGAGCATCCGCAGCCCGAGCTCCTGGTGTAAGGCGCTGGAGTACGTCTGCCGCGGCTTCACCAGCGCGTCCATCTGAGCCTTTCGCGCGGCGCGTGGCCGAGCCTCGAGGCTTGGCGAAGTGTCCCTCCTCCCCTCTCCGTCCCTCCTCTCCTCCTCCTCCTCCTCCCTCCTCCTCCTCCTCCTCCTCCTCCTCCTCCTCCTCCTCCTCCTCCTCCTCCTCCTGCTTCTTCTATTCTCTGTGAGCAAGCTCCTGCTGTCTCCGCAGCTTCTCTGCCCAAGTGCCCCCCCGTCGGCCGCGCGTGCGGACGCCTTATGCAGGCGGTCGCACAAGCGGCTCTCGGGGGCGCTGGGGAGATCTTCTTCAGGGGGCTGCGGGCCGCGCTCTACGAGCGGCTCGTGTCTGCCCCCCTCTCTGTGCTTCAGGACCAAGGGCCTCCTGCGCCTGCCTGGTCCATCCAGCAGGCGGACTCGTCCGAGGGTGAGGGGGCTTACTGCCCCCTCCCTTCGGCGGGTTCCGCCTGCCCCACCGTCTGCCTCGGGCTGGCGGTGGATCTGAGCGGCGGGGTCTCTCCCTGGCTGCTCAGCACGGTCGTCGCCCTCCTTTGGGTGACGGCCGCGTGCAGCGCCTGCGCAGGCTGCTGCTTCGGGCTGCTGGGCCCGTACGTGTGGCGGAGGCTCAGGGCCTCCGCCTGGCCGCGCGGTGCGGTTCCTGCTTCCCCTGAGCAGGACCGCCGTGCGGCGCGAGCGCTGGCTTACGGGGTTCCGCCTCGGCCTCGAGCGCTCGAGCGGGCAGGCGCCCAGCATTCGGGCGGCAGTTCCCACGACAGCGCCCATTGATGGCTGAGCTGCCACCAGTTGGCGGAGGGCCTCTATGGCCCGAGCTCTACCCATTCGCGGCTCCCACGGCTCGCGATTACGCACGATGGCGCCTAGACGACGGCGACACCAGCTGGGCAGCTATCCCCCTCGCGTCTCGAGAAGGGGGCATCCTTCTGGCCCTGCCTGGCGCCTTTCGCTCTACGGCGGAGCTCGTGGCTGCCGAGGCGGATGGCTTTGCAGGAATGATAGGCCCTTTCCAGCTAGTGGACGTCCAGCTCCAGGGGGCCGCTTCACGGCCGCTCGCCACTACTGCATCCGTCCTCGTCGTAGACATCGAGGTTGCAGAGCTCGAGCTCGAGTCGCTTTACCCTCTAGAGGTCGGGGAGGACGCAGTCATCGTTCCCTTCGCCGAGGTGCGGGGCCGCGTCTATTGGCCACATCCTTCGGGGGTTCGGGTGCTTCGCGAGGGTTACGCACGCTTGCACGGCGCCCCGCCTACTGCAGGAGAAGAGCCGCTCCCAGGGGCCGATCGGGCTACTCCCTATCACTCTGCCGACGAGATGGAGGAACCCGAGGGGTTCGCGGCCGACGGGGAAGCCGACCGCACGGCCCCAAGTGCGCGATCTCCCGCGGACGCTGGAGCGCCGCGCGGCCCGCCCGCGAAGCGCGCGGGCACCGCCGCGCCGCCACGGGTTGCGGGTCCCGCTCCGATCGCTCCTGGTGCCCCTGCGGCGTCTCTGGACGACGGGGCTCCTATGACCCGTGCCGAAGTAGCTGCCGAAATGCGCGCCTTGCTTGCAGCCCACGCGGCCTCCACGATGGTCGGCAGACCCGAGCCGCTGGGCCCCGCGCCGGCTGCCCGGAGCGATCGGCCCGAGGTGCCTCAGCTTTTCAGCGACGAAGCGGTGCGCCTCGGGCTGGATCCTGCGGGGATCGAGGCCGTCCTGTCTCACGCGCCCGTGGCCCCACAGCGGGTCTCCGCGCGTCCCAAGGGTCCGACCTCCGCGCTGGTCTCGGCGTGGGAAAAGGCGCGCTCTCTTGCTGTCCCTCGGGCCCCTTCGTCCGGTTTCGGAGCGATGGGCCCCCCGCCGCCACCTGGGCTAGCCCATCCCGCTGCGGCCGACGGCTTTGCCGAGGCGGGCGGCGCCGACGGGTCAGAGCCGCCCCATGCGGCCAATCCGACGGACTTCAGCCTCATGCTACAGTGCCTGCACCAGTCCCTCCTATTGCAGCAGGGGCGGGGCCATCGCCCAACCGTCCATCCGCTTCTGGGGACCCTGAGCGACTCAGCTCAAATTCCGCCCACGAGCTCGGGCGACCCCGCGCCCGCATCGGCCCAGATGGGGGGCATTGCTCGGAGGCGCGAGTGGCAGCAAGCGCTGCTACAGCACGGCCCCGATGTGCGAGGACTGATGAAGGAGAATTTGGCCCGTGTCCTGGGCGTGGAAGTCAGCGCCGTGACCCCCATGGCCATGCATCAGTATTTTCGGGAGCACAGTCCCTTGGGGGCTCAGCCGACGACGCACGAGTTGTTGACGCATTTCGCCTTCCTCAGCGCCGAGCTGTGGCGGGCCTGCGAAGAGGGCAACCCCGAGAGAGTCCAGACTTTACTGACGTGTCAGTGCATGTTCATCGACCAGCTGGCGGGGGACCGCGGCTATCTCGAGGCCGCCTGGTTCCTTACGGGGCTGGAGCCTCCCCCGTGTCGCGTGACCAGTCGTCACACGGAGCGCGAGGCCCAGACCCCGTTCTCACCCCTGGTGGATCCTCGCTGGCTGTCGGCGCAGGGCGAATACGTGAAGGAGCTGCAAGCATTTCGGGCGCGTCTCGACGCCGAGCGCGCCGTCGCGCTCCCCAAGCATCCACCTCATCAGCCCAAGCAGCCCAAGGTTTCGAAGCCCCCCGTCAAGTCCCAGGGTGCGTCCAAGGCACCGAAGGCGGTGCCCAAGAAGGACTGAGGGCGCCTTTGGCGCCCGCCTCCTGGAAGGGTGGGCCTTCGCGGGGCCGGGGTACGCCGCCGCACACAGTCTGCACCGACGCTGTTGCGGCTGCTAGGCGCGTTTGGGCTCAGCGAGGGCGTGAGGGTAGGAATGCGCTCTTCCAGCGATGCTGTTGCGGCCCCGCAGGGAGGAGTACGTTCCGCCACCACGCCCTTCGCTCTGCTCCGAACCGCTTCTCGGATCCCTTCGGCCATTTTGGCCGGCGCCTGCCTCAGTCGCGCGCGCCCTCCAGGGGGCCTGCAGCTCCTGAGGTTGGTGTCCCTGCTGGTGCCTGTTCTCCTTCAAGCACCCCTGCTGCACTTGCCAAAGTCGCGCCATTCGTCGCTGACTTGTCTGCCTTGCTGCGCCTGTTTCCAGGCGCGAACATTGATATCACCCACTGGGCGGCAGCGCTGTCCCAGGTTGGGATGGGTGCTCGATGTTCTCTTGGATCTTTCTCCCGCTCATCTACGCGTGCAATGGACAGGGACGACCCGTACTTTTTGGGGCCGCCTCCCCGCGATCCTTGGCCGTGCCCGCCTGCTCCACCTCTTGGTCCCCCGCCTGACGGCTTGTCGGCGAGGCGCAGGGAGCGCTGGAGATTGCGGCGCGCGGCGCGGACGCTCGCGCAGTATTCTGTTATTGCGTTGAATTGGCTCACCTTGGGTCATCCTAGCCTCGCTCCCGCCGAGGCTCGCGTCCGCGCCACGGTCTCGCCCTGCCAGGAGGGCGTCCGCACCCGTATCGAACGGTTGTGTCGGATCGCAGTTCGCCTCGCCCGTGGCGGCAAGAGCGACTTAGGTCGAGCCTTCGCCAAGTTCGACTCCACTGAGGTCTCGCTCCATGGCCTGGCCACCCATGTTGCAGCTTTGGAGGCCTCCTTCACTTCCTCTTCTTCCGTACCCGCCCCCATGCGGCACTGCCCGACCAGCGCTCCTTCTGTGCCTGGTTCGTTGGCGGCTGCGGCGGCTTGGGACTCCACCCAGGCCGAGCCCTTCGATTTGAAAGTCAGGGCGTCTCGCATCAAGTGGGATTATTCGCCAGAGTTTGATCCCGTTCCCTTCCTCTCCGACGCTCGAGTCCGCGAAGCTTTCATCGATCCAGAGGTGATGCGGCTACCGGCATCAGAGTGGCCTGCTGGCCAGAAGGGAGCGCGCGTCCATATGGACCGCGCCGAGCTGTGGGCCCTACTCCAGAAGTGGGATGCCTGTGGCGCCCTGTACCTGACTCCTGCTTCGGACCTCGCCTGGGATGAAGCCTGTGGAGCTTTCAGGGTACCGAAGGACAGCGATTTCGACAGGCTGATCCTGAACCCCACGGTCGTGAACAGCCGCTGTGCTTCAATTTCGTCCAGCACCCAGCGCCTTGGCCAAGGTTTCCTGCTGTGCCGTTTGGGGCTGGCACCTGGGGAATGGCTGGCAGTTTCTTGTGACGACCTACGGGAGTTTTACTACACTTTCCGCGTCCCTCCCGCGCGCGCCAGACGTAACGCCCTGCGCGTTCGTCTGCCATCATCTCGCTTCAAGGCCTTTCGAGCCTGGCGCCCCGAGCTTGAAGGTGTGGATGTCGCGCCCTGCCTCAATGCTCTGGCGATGGGCGACAACATGGCTGTGGAGATTGCCAACTCTGCGCATGAAGGCGTCTTGCACAGCTTCGGGGCTTTGCGGCCTCACGAGCAGGTTGTCCACCGCTCGCCCTTCCCGCGGGGCCCGTTTGTCGAGATGCTGAATATTGATGACCATACAGGTTTTCAGAAGCTCTCGTGGCGTGGCTCCGCTCCTCGCCCCGACGACCCGTGTCGCCGTGATCGTGAGGTCTTTGCCGCCTGTGATGCGGGCTACCCGCGCGTGGGCCTGATACAGCATCCAGGCAAGCGCGCGCGCGGCGAAACGCACAAGGTGGTGGTGGGCGCCGAGGTGGAGGGGCGCATAGGCATCGTCTGCGCTCCTCTTGTGCGGACGGTGGCCTTGTGCAGACTGACCCTGATCCAAATCTACCTCGGGATCACCACCCGCTCCCTGCTAGCCTCTCTTGTGGGCTGCTGGGTCCAGGTCTTCCTCTATCGCCGCCCGATGCTCGCCATCTTTACGCACGTCTACAACTTCTTGTCGCGCCTGGCGACCGAGGACGGCATCGAATACGACTTGCCCCCTTATGTTCGCGACGAGCTTCTGGCCTGCACCTTTTTAGCCTTTACGGCTATAACCGACCTTCGGGCGCAGCCTTGCCCCGAGGTGTTCGGTACGGACGCGTCTCTCGGCTGGGGGGGCGTTGTCCGCGCTCCTATCAGCCCGCAGCTCTCCGCCGAGCTGTGGCGCAGATCGGAGCACGGGGGGTGGCACACGATTCTGCACAATCGGAGCCTCCTCGCCGTACTCAGCCG